GGGCATGGGGACACTACAGGACACTTATTCAACGAGCCGCACATCTCAAGGTCAACTTTCAAAAATCAACTTGTGCCTTTCTTGAACTATGTTTTCAGCTCTTCCAGTATTGGAGATAATGTGTGAGTAGTTTGTAGCCTAATAATTTAGCAATTTATTAAATTTAGAATATTTTCAATAATTTGCTTATTTATTGTGTACTGAATGAAAAGAGAATAGAAATTTAGAGTACGTGTGCTCAGCCTAATAGAAACTCTCATGGGACACGAGTTATCTATTCAAAAGAATGAACACCCATGCTACTTTGCCCAAAATATTTTCTAAATCAGAGCAGTAACTTTCGAACTACTGCAAATTTTATAGCGACACTCAAGGTCGCGCACATTCAAATGGTGATAGAAATGAACTAAGAACGTAGATGTTGGAGATAAAATCAGGAATATATACACCGTACTCATAACCTTCTATATACAAGTATGCTGTTGCAAGCTGAAATGGGTTTTCAAAATGAGGGTGATGCTGCACGAGTTTGGTCAACACCTGTAGCAATCTTCGAATTTCCCTTTCTGACAAATCTGGTCTTAGGTGTCAAAAGAAGGCTCAGTAATTTATCTACACATGGTTTTCATCAACTGTGAAACCTAGGAAATTATCCCATATGCTGCCTTCTTACGGTTTCTTATTTGAACAGACTTCTCAGACGATGTTTTGTTTTTCTTCCTTTTGCTCAGTGCTAGCACTGCGTATACAAACTGGAGTCGATGTAACACGGTAGGATAAAGATTAGTATAAATTGAAATAGGTTTGCGAGACGGAACCAGATTGCAGTCCACAGAAAATGTGAACGGTACGATTTATGATCGATAGGTGACTACCGAAAGCTCAGATCGGTAGGCAACTAATGCTTCGGACAATAGAAATGAATGCTGAGCTGATGCAGAAAAACATGAGGTCACAGAACTGGAGCACAAAATCATGTAAACTCACATGAGTAAAAGTCCAAGTTGGTAAAGTGTTCTTCTTTAGGGACAGAAGTACATTCAACCAAACGAAATAGTTCAATGATAAAAACCCAAACTATAATCTGAGGGCAGGTAGATGTATCAGTTTCCCTCGGGGTGGGCGCAAAGCCAAGTCTTCTATGACAGTTTAAAACGTGAGCAATACCAGAAATTAAGTATGTGGAACAGTCGTTGAATTTGCAAGAACGACCAGAATCGGCGTGAAACATGGATGCTACATATAAGACACTTATCGTGCTGCTCAAACACGGTCGCAACTCCGAATAATTACAAGCGAGCACAAATCGTGTGTGTTCACACACACACACGAGCACCTTTGTATATCGACTGTGTGGTTAGCTAGTCGACTGGCGGCGGAAATGCAACCAAACCAGATGAGAAAGCAAAAAGGCATCGCCAAAAGCAACCAAGCATCTGCTGTTTATCATATGGTCTAAAAACCCCATTGGACAAAGAATCATTCAAGGATCGTCGAGCCATCATCATCATCATCATCGTACAGTGAGATACAGTGAAGCGAGCTTCATTGATCGCTGCCAAGCTCACAATGTACACAAATCAAATGATAAAGCAAAAGATGGAGAGGGATTGGGCCTACTTGGAGGGAGGCAAAGAAAAGAACCTCTATGTTCAACACAGAGTACACAATCTAAGTGTTCATGCATACCTTTTTCAAGCATTCTGCTTTGTTAAGAAATGACAACAAGAGCGCTACTGTTGTCAGTCAGTCGCCATATCCTTTCATGTCTCCAGCCAACCAGTTGCAGAGTCTTTCAGACCCCAACCTGGAAGACGGAAAACACCAATTCTACCTAATCGCTCTGTGCATTTCTTCATGCCTCGCTTCCACGTCATCTGTTGACCACCACGCGGTTTCTTCCAACTTGGAGCCGTAACTGCGAATAAGGCGCGGTGCGGCAGACGACAGCTGAACATGCACAATACGTGTCCTAACCAGCGAAGCCGACTAATCTAAATTCGATGGGACAAAGAATTCTCCATCGAATCATTACCAAATACGCG